AGCTACCCCTCTCACGGTGAATGATGATATTGCATGTTGCCCCTAGTCCTCTTCTATCCCGCTCTGCCCACGGTTTGCCGACATTATTCACATTAAAATCATTATTATATTAAATATATCTCTATGACCCTATATGTATATATCCTCACCTGATTCGCCCCAAACCTGGGCAAGGAGAGGGGGGGGGGGGAGGGAGAACTGGAAAAAATCAAAAATGGGTGGGGTATGGAGTTTTCCGCGTGGCTGACAAGCTATAGCCCCCAACCAGGACACTCGGTTGCTTAATCCGCAATAGGAGGCAGGTGGGACAGCAAGGGACCGGGACCAGAGAGGGTCAGGTTCGGGGTACGGATCCGAAGAGATCCACTCCGTCGAATTAGCTGGAGGTAGGAGGAGGAGTGGGAGGAGGGGGAGGAGGAGGGGGAGGAGGAAGGGGAAGAGCGGGAGTAGATAGTAGGGTAGATAAAAAAGGTTCTCTCACGTAGGAACAGGTCCTTAAGCTAGATAAGGAATAAGAGAGCCTTTCTTATCTACCCTATTTACTCCTCCCCCTCCTCCCCCTCCTCCCCCTCTTCCAAAAAAACAAAGAAAAACAATGGAGCAACCAAAAAAAAGCAGAGAGCTATTCTACTCCTTAAGCTAGATAAGCAATAAGAGGCATGGAGCCTCAGTAGGGTTTAGGAGTAGAATAGCTCTCTCTCCTTTGTTTTTTTGGTTGCTCCATTGTTTTTCTTCGTTTTTCTTTGTTTTTCTTTGTTTTCTTTGTTTCTCTTTGTTTTTTTTGGTTGCTCCATTGTTTTTGCTGTTTTCTTTTTTTTTTTCTCGTTTCCTTTTGTGATTAATTAGATTAATTAGATTAATTCGATTTCTTTTGAGGTGGTCGCGTATGCGATACCAAGTGTTCGTTGGGGTAAGATAAGGCCCACAACCGATACTGGGTAATGGTCCTTGTACCAGTGACGTTTTTTGTTTCCTGGTTCTTTGTGAGGATTTCCCGGCCTCATGTGTTTTCATGATAATCGACTTCCTTGCTTCTTCCCCTCCCCCCTTCCCCTTCCCCCGCCCCCCCCCAAAAAAAAGGGGAAAGAAATAGAAAACCAAAAACATATACATACATAAAGTAGATACTTCTACTATATATATCATATTTATATAAACTGACGTGCCTGTCCAAAATCATCCCCATTGTAATTAAAAACGAAAAAATGAACCCCTTTTTCCTCGCATACGGGCCACGTGTTCCACTGCGCAGAACGGACACGCACAAATCGAGAAACCGTCCGACTCTTAATAAAATAAAATAAAATAAAATAAAATAAACTTGGAGGGCGTACTCGCACTAACGATTTCCCAAATGTATGTGAGCGAAATTACAGCCCTATGTGCATGTATCTGTATCTGACTGCACTCACGCGCACCGATCAGCGGAAAAATTCTTGCTATTGTGAGTATATACCCTCAGTACTTCAAATTGAACACTTGCGGCGCGTTCTTCATCTGCGGCAAGGTCCCATCTACCCAGAATTCTTTTTCTTTTTTCTTTTTTTTTTTGGGGGGGGGGACCATTTCTTGATTTATGCCTGTCATCCTTGAAAGCGCACGGGCCATGCTGATCTTCGTTCTCTGTTATCTTTCCAATTTTCATTTTTTTACGGATGTCCCCACGGACATCTACACAGATTCTCGATTTCTGACCGTTGATCTTAGTAATCTAAGGTCCAAAACGAGTAATCCCGGTATGCAGGACCTTGCCCCAGCCGAACCAATATATCAGCGATCAAAAACGACAATTTCCGTGCGTCTAGTTAGAAAAAACAAGAGAGGGGGGGGGCGGGGGGGAACGTTAAGAAAGTAAAACACACATCCTTTTTTTTCCAATTTGAAGTAACTTAAAATACTTCTCAATTCTACTCAACTCAGGTTCAGGGGCAAAAGTCATTCCG